AGGTTCAAGTGATTCTCCTGCCTCAGCCTCCTGAGTAGCTGGGATTATAGGCGCCTGCCACCACATCTGGCTAATTTTTTTTATTTTTAGTAGAAATGGGGTTTCACCATGTTGGCCAGGCTGGTCTTGAACTTCTGACCTCAAGTGATCCAACTGCCTTGGCCTCCCAAAGTGCTGGATTACAGGCATGAGCCATCATGCCTGGCCTCTTCTGTGCCCTTTGGACTGTAGGCTCAGCCAGAATCAAAATCCGCTATGTCCTTGACCTTCCAAGCAGCATCCTCCATCCTCTACGTCTGATGGAAACCAGGTCCCTCCTCCCAAGCGCACTGTCTACCCCTTCAGCTGTCTTGGCGATGGGGATCCTGGCAGCCTTCATGGCACTGGGCTGGGACAAAGGGGGACAACATCCTCTTGACATTTCTCCTTTCCTAAACGTCCCCCCCTCTTGCTAAACAACAGCTACGTCTTCAAAGACATTCCACTCTGCCTTCTGGGTTACAATTATCTACCGACATCCATCCCTCCTTGAAGATGCCTGTCCGTGGTTCCTACCGTGTTTAATACTACACTTGCCAGAATTCTTGGGGATTTCAAAATATACAGGCATGGTGGCTCACATCTATAATTCCAGCACTTTGGGAGGCCAAGGAGGGAGGATTGCTTGAGGACAGGAGTTCAAGACCAGCCTGGGCAAAATAGGAAGAACCAATCTCTACAAAAAAGATTAGGCTAGGCAGGGTGGCTTGTGCCTGTAATCCCAGCACTTTGGGAGGCCGAGGTGGTTGGATCACTTGAGCTTGAGTTTGAGAAGAGCCTGGCCAACACAGCAAAACCCTGTCTCTACAAAAAATACAAAAATTAGCTAGGCATGGTGGTGCGTGCCTGAAGTCCCAGCTACTCTGGAGGCTGAGGCAGGATGATGGCTTGAGCCTGGTAGATGGAGGCTGCAGTGAGCCAAGATCGTGCCACTGCATTCCAACCTGGGCAACACAGCAAGACCCTGTCTTGAAAAAAAATTAAATATTAACTGGGTGTGATGGTATGTGCCTGCAGTCCCAGGTACTTGGGAGGTTGAGGCAGGAGGACTGCTTAAGGCCCTGGAGGTCAAGGCTGCAGGGAGTGGTGACTATACCACTGCACTCCAGCCTCAGTGACAGAATGAAGCCTGCGTCCGAAAGCAAAACGAAGCAAAACAAAAACCCAGCCTACATCGAGATCATCCTTCTAACATCCTGATTCCTCAGTTCCTTCACTGGTGCCCACTTGCCGCTCCCACTGAAGCTGTTTCAGCTGCAGAAGATGCCGGCATCAGACTGCACTTTATTTAGCCAGTCCATCTTGTTGTCCAGGCAGGAGCGCAGTGGCACAATCTCGGCTCACTGCAACCTCCACCTCCCGGGTTCAAGGGATTCTCCTGTCTCAGCCTCCTGAGTAGCTGGGATGATAGGCATCCGCCACCGTGCCTGGCTAATTTTTGTATTTTCTTTTCTTTTTTTTTTTTTTTTTTTTTTTTTTTTTTGAGACGGAGTTTCGCTCTTGTTACCCAGGCTGGAGTGCAATGGCGCGATCTCGGCTCACCGCAACCTCCGCCTCCTGGGTTCAGGCAATTCTCCTGCCTCAGCCTCCTGAGTAGCTGGGATTACAGGCACACACCACCATGCCCAGCTAATTTTTTGTATTTTTAGTAGAGACGGGGTTTCACCATGTTGACCAGGATGGTCTCGATCTCTTGACCTTGTGATCCACCCGCCTCGGCCTCCCAAAGTGCTGAGATTACAGGCTTGAGCCACCGCGCCCGGCTTTCTTTTCTTTTTTTGAGACAGAGTCTCGCTCTGTCACCAGGCACCAGGCTGGAGTGCAGTGGCACGATCTGGGCTTACTGCAACCTCTGCCTGCCTCAGCCTCCCAAGTAGGTGGGACTACAGGTGCGTGCCACTATGCCCAGCTAATTTTTGTATTTTTTTAGTAGACACTGGGTTTTGCCATGTTGGCCAGGATGGTCTTAATCTCCTGACCTCGTGATCTGCCTGCCTCAGCCTCCCAAAGTGCTGGGATTACAGGCGTGAACCACCTCGCCCGGCCAATTTTTTTATTTTCAGTAGAGACAGGGTTTCACCATATTGGTCAGGCTGGTCTCAAACTCCTGACCTCAGGTGATCTGCCCGCCTCAGCCTCCCAAAGTGCTGCTGGGATCACGGGTGTGAGCCACTGCACCTGGCCTGGCGCGATCTTTCATGGGTGTTCTCATCCCACCGTATCCCATGCCATCTGCCAGTGGCCGCTGTTGGCTTCCAGAATCACAGCCACCCCGTCTCCCGGCCTCTCCCGCATGCCCAGTCTCTCCCTGGATCCCCAGGGTAGCCTAATGCCTCTCTTGGATTTTGCCTTTGATCTCCTTCCCAACACAGTGGCCAAGTGATCTCATCAAGGGCCAATCAGATTGCGTTTTCCCCTCCAAACCTCCCACGGCTGCGCCCCACAGGGCCCTCCCCAGTCAACCCCACGCCACGCCTCTGGCTTCATCCAACACTCTTTGCACCTTGCTTCCTGTGCTCTGTCACACCGGGTCCCTGCCCAGGTACATCCTGCTCTGTTAGCTCCTTTGGGTCCTTGCTGCATGGCCCCTCCCCAGACACTGCCCTCCTTCCCTCTACCTGCCCTGCGTTCCCTTTCCTTCTACCCTGCTTGCTTCTCTCTAGAACATTCTAACATGCTATGGTCCTGCTTTTTTTTTTTTTTTTGACACGGAGTTTCACTCTTGTACCCAGGCTGGAGTGCAATGGCGCGATCTCGGCTCACCGCAACCTCCGCCTCCTGGGTTCAGGCAATTCTCCTGCCTCAGCCTCCTGAGTAGCTGGGATTACAGGCACGCGCCACCATGCCCAGCTAATTTTTTTGTATTTTTAGTAGAGACGGGGTTTCACCGTGTTGACCAGGATGGTCTCAGTCTCTTGACCTCGTGATCCACCCACCTCGGCCTCCCAAAGTGCTTGGATTACAGGCTTGAGCCACCGTGCCTGGCCATTCTAACGTACTATAGAATGTGCTCTCTTTACTCTGTCACCCAGGCTGAAGTGCAGTGTTACCATTACAGCTCACTGCAGCCTCACCTTCCTGGACAAGCAATGCTCCCAACTCAGCCCTCCAAGTAGCTGGGACCACAGGTGCACCACCCACCATGCCCAGTTAATTAAGAAAAAAAATTTTTTTATACAAAAATATTAGCCGGGTGTGGCGGCGAACATCTGTAATCCCAGCTACTCAGGAGGCTAAGGTGGGAGCATTCCCTGAACGCAGGAGGTGAAGGTTCCAGTGAGCTGAGATCGAGCCATTGCACTCCAGCCTGGGCGACAGAGTGAGACTCCGTTCTCAAAAAAAAAAAAAAAAAAAAAAAAAAAGGTTTTTTTTTGTAGAGATGGGGTCTCACTGTGTCGCTCAGGCTGGTCTTGAACTCCTGGGCTCAACTGATCCTCTGGCCTCAGCCTCCCAAAGTGCTGGGGTGACAGGTATAACCACTGAATGTGTTTATTTTTATCACCGCTCACCCCAACCGCCAGCAGAATGTAAGATACAGGAGGGTTTGTCTCCATGCCTCGCCAGATTCTCAGGGCCTGGAATGGTGCCTGCAACCAAACAGGTGCTCAAGTATTTGTTGAATGAATAAATGATTTATCAGTCAGTCTCTTAGGAGTTTAGTTAGCAGGACTTGGTTGGCAGGAATCGTAGCAGAAGTGGGGAGGCAGCCAAGAAGGAGAGGCCGCTCTGACCCGCAGGTACCTCCCCGCCCCAGCTGCCTGCTCCTCTTTTTAGCAACCACACCAACGTTTCGGTTTTTAAAGCAAATGAGGAAACAATGGTTCAGCCTGGGCGTCATTCAGTGAGGTCCCAGCGTCACCATTACCCGGTACCTGCCCTTTAGCAAAATAGAGGGGAAGGCCCTGCTCTGTAATCTGGTGGCCTAGTGACAAGGGGTAAGGGTTGGTGTGACAACACAGGGAGGTAGCTGTCCATCTTCACTTTTTTTTGATACAGAGTCTTGCTCTGTCACTAGGCTGGAGTGCAGTGGTGTGATCTCGGCTCACTGCAGTCTCCGCCTCCTGTGATCAAGTGATTCTCCTGCCTCAGCCTCCTGAGTAGTCGGGATCATAGGCACGCGCCACTGCAACCAGCTAACTTTTGTATTTTAGTAGAGACACCATTTCACCATGTTGGCCAGGATGGTCTCGGTCTCTTGACCTCATGATCTGCCCGCCTCAGCCTCCCAAAGTGCTGGGATTACAGGCGTGAGCCACCGCGCCCGGCCCCATCCTCACCTTAAGGGACGTGATGGGAGGAGAGGGGAGGGGACGGAAGGACGGGGCAGAAAAGTGCCGGCAGAAGGGCGGGGTGCACAGAGATGAGAAAGCAGGCCAGGCCAGGGGCTGCCAGGGACCTTCCCCAGCGTCCCCTCCTCCCTGGTCCTCTCCCCAGCTGGGCCCCAGACGCCATCCACTCTCTGGCTGTCTCCCTGAGGAAGGCCGCCTCCTGTATGTCAGGTCCTGGAGAAGCCTCGACTTGGCCGTTCTCCCATGGCCTCTTTCCGGAGGGAGGATCCCAACCTCCCAGGCCCCCCCAGAATCCCCCAGCCCTCCACAGGGCCTCACCCATGGGCAGAGCTGTGGGGCTCCCAGCGGGGCCTCTGCTCCCACTCAGGGACCTGGGCAGGGTGACGAGGATGCACCTGCCCAGGGAATCCCCCCTCCAAACAGCCCAGCCCCAGCCAGAAGCTGAGCGCCTCCCCCGACTGTGTCCCCCGGAGGTCTCCACACTGGCCTGCTCAGCCCACCCCTCTCCATCACCCCTAGGGCCCCGCAGGCTGGAAAACTGCCCAGCCATCCTCCAGCACACACCTCCCCACCAGCAACTTCCTCCCCAGCCGAGGCACCCTCCACAGTGGGGGTTCTGACACCAGGGTCCCAGCTGGGGGACTTCTCCCTCCAGCGTGCAGGGCCACTTACCTTCCTCCTGCACCTCGGAGAAGCTGCTGGCGGCTGTAAGAGAGGTGAGGGTGGTGAGGAGAGAGCCTGGGATGGAAGGGGGCCGGAGACAGCCTCGAGACCCACCTGCGGAAGCCAGGAGGGAGGAGCAGGCTGACTGCTGGTAGTGAGGCCGCAGGACTCAACCAGCACCATCACTCACAAAAGCTCCTGTGTGCCCCCTGCCCCCGCCATTTCCTATCAGTCATCAGCCCATTATGTAGATGGGTAAGTAGTGGGCCCTGAATGCTGACGCAGTCCTGCGACCACACAGGCAGCAAGTATAGGGGCTGGTCCGAGACTCAAGCCCCGATCTTTCCCTCTCTGTCCTGTGTTTCCAGAGGTTTCCCTTGGTTCAGGCCTCATCTCCCCTGTGCTCCCAGTACCCCCACCTGAGCCTGTGGCCCCAAGGCCCTGGCAGCAGCCCCACCAGCACGTCCCCGGTGGACTTACCTAGCACAGCCAGGCAGAGCAGCGCAGGGAGCCTCATGCCTCGTGGGTGTGGGGCCTCTGCTCAGGCGGTGAGGACCTCCTGGCTCCTTGCCTCCCTGCCCTGGGGCCCCGGGACGCTCCTTGGGCGGGTGCCTGCAGCGGGGAGATAACCTGGAGGTGGCAGCACCGCAGGGCCTCAGCTACCAGGGCCGGGCCCCGAGAGCCCCAGCAGGCTCAGTACAGCAAACTCTCCCTCAGTCCCCAGAGAAGTAGAAGGAGTTTGGACCTTGAAGCAAGACCAGGGCTTAGACTCAGCAGTCAGCTCTGAGCCGCAGGACCCTGGGCTCATGTGGTGGGCAGATATCCATGCTCAGCCAGGCGCGTGGCTCACACCTGGAATCCCAGCACTTTGGGGGGCTGAGGTGGGTGGATCACCTGAAGTCAGGAGTTCGAGAACAGCCTGGCCAACATGGCGAAACCCTGTCTGTACTAAAAATACAAAAATCAGCCGGGCATGGTGGCACGTGCTACCTGTAGTCCCAGCTACTTGGGAGCCTGAGGCAAGGAGAATTGCTTGAACCTGGGTGGTGGAGGTTGCAGCGCCACTGCGCTCCAGCCTGAAGACAGAGCGAGACTCCATCTAAAAAAAAAAAAAAAAAAAGTGTCCGTGCGCTAATCACTGGAGCCGGTGAGCTCCGTGTTACTTGGCAAGGGGAATTAAGGCTGCGAATCTCCTCATTTTGAGAGAAGGAGGCTGTCTAGATGGCCCAGGTGACCCTCATGTAATCACTGGGTCCTTTCCCAGCTGGGGACCTGCAGGGCTGAGGCGAGGCAGCCCCGCCCATCCCATGATGGTTCAGAGCCGGGGGGTCAAGGCTGCACCCAGCCCCAGAATGAAACCCCAGAGCCACGAGGCCCCTGCTCCTGGAGTATGATGTGGTGTGCCAAGCTCTGCCCTTCAGAAGTTCCTCAGGCCCCACTGAGGGTACTAAGAGGTCATATGGATGGTCATTCCCCGGGGACCTGGCCCCAGTGCTGGCCTCGGCCCCAGCAGACCTGGCTGCATCGCAGACGGTGTGCAGAGCCTGAGCGGCCAAGCCTCCTGGCCCTGCAGGGAGGGTGGAGGTGAGCAGGGCCTCCCAGAGCCCTGAGGCCAGCGCTGGGGCCAGGCAGTCCCCAGAACACAGAGAGATCTGTGAGCGCAGGGAAGGGAGGCCAGGACCCTGCCAGCTCCTCTCTGGGCCACTGCACCGGCCTTTGTGCCCCACCTTGGCCAGGACCAGCTTGTAGCTTTCTTGCCAGGCTGTTACTTTGTGTGGGAAATGCCCTTTCTGCCTGCCTCCTTGAGGAATGTATCCCCCGAGGCCAGGTGACCAGTGGCCTCCGGAGCTGCTGCCACCTGTGGCACCCAACTGGTCAAACACACTCCCTGCCCCTGGGCACAGTCCGGGAGTGGACACCGGACCGAGGAAGGCAGACCTGCCCCAGGTCTCCTCTTGGCCTTTCTCAGGGGGACGCGCTGTGCCCGAGGCCTGGGTGCATGGGAAGCTGGTCTGACGGGGTGGCCTGGCTGAAGGACAGTGCGGGGGGGCAGGTGCAGGTGTCCTGGAGGTCGCTGCAGACTGGCTCTGTTGACCCCTCGGTGGCCTCCTCTCCCAGCTGGCCTGAGTCCGTTTCTGCCGCTTGCTGCCCATGGTCCCGGGGATGGAGCCTGCCTGCTGGGCCCCCGCCGACCTCTCTGCTTTCAGTTCCAGCTGGGGAGCAAGAGCGTTATCTCTTAGTTTCCCAGCAAAACTCCCTTCCCTTCCCAACCGTCTGTTCTCACTTCTGCTGAAGGCGGGTGGGGGAGGGGACTGAAGACAGGGTGGACAGGTGGCTGTGGGGCTGGCTGGCTGCCCGCCGGGGCTGCTGGCAATCTCTCGCCCGAGGGGAAACTCACTCTCTCTCCTTGTGGTGTTCAGGGGAACCTTGAGATAAGGCCGCTCTTGAGAACCCCTTCTTCTTTCCAGAGTGTGAGGAAGCTGGAGTCGGAGCGCGAGGCGGACTCGTGGGCCATCTTCCCCAGACGTCGGGGGACCCCATCATCCCTCCTGAGACCTGCACCCCCAGGGATCACTTGTGCACCCATCTGGTGGACCAGTTCTCTGGATGGCGTCGCCCCTCTGTCCAGCCTGCAAAGTAGGCCAGGATATAGCCACACCTCCAAGGTCACCCCCAGGCCACCTTTCGTGGAGTCTGGGGATCCCCAAAAGCTCTCCAGCTACCTGCTTCAGGCTGATATTCTGTGAGTTTTGCTCGCAGAGGCCACTGTCCTCAGTAACAAGGGCTCTTCCCAGCATCTCCACGTTTCCTTCCCTGTACTGTCCCTGGAAGGGTCCTGCGGGTGAGAGTCTGCTCTGGGCTTCCCCGGCCAGCATAGTGGGGTTTTAGGGGCACAGAAAGATGCGGGGGTGTCTCTCAGGGCTGGGCAGGGAAGGGCCTAGGAGTCCCCAAGGCTAGGGGCAGCTGGGACACCACACCTGCAGTGGGCTGTCCCATCTGGTGAGACCTTTACTGCACCTGCTACATTAGCCCTAGAGAGTCCCTCTCTGCCTGGTGGGACATCTAAGCTCCTGGCAAGCCCCTCATTAGGTCATGGCCCTCCAGCTGCCTGTCATCTACAGCAAATCCTCCCAGCCCGGAGCACTGGTTCCATCTTCACACTGGCTGTCACCGTGTGTCCTCCATCCCAGTCTAGAGGCCTCAGATTCCCAGCTTCCCAGTCTTCCCTGTGGTCCCTTCACCATATCTGCCCAGGCTCCGTCTCTGCCCTCAGCTCCTGTCCAAAGCCTCCCTTTCTCCAAAGCCCTGCTTGTCACTGGCTCCATGAGCCCTCCTGAGGGAAGAGGCCCATCCCCCAAGGCCCCTGGGCTGTCATTCTGGGTGGTCCCAATCACAGGGGGCCCCAGGTCCACTCCCCATCATCTCCCATTCGGCTCCTTCAGGCCAGTGACCAAGTTGTAACAGGAGCCACCACTGCACTTCTACGTCCCCATGGGGACACTTCAAAAGTCACTGCATGGGCTGGGCACAGTGGCTCATGCCTGTAATGCCAGCACTTTGGGAGGATGAGGCAGGTGGATCATCTAAGGTCAGGAGTTTGAGACCAGCCTGGCCAACATGGTGAAACGCCATCTCTACCAAAAATACAAAAAATTAGCCGGGTGTGGTGTTGGGCACCTGTAGTCCCAGCTACTCGGGAGGCTGAGGCAGGAGGATGGCTTGAACCCGGGAGGCAGAGGTTGCAGTGAGCCAAGATCTTGCCACTGTACTCCAGCCTGGGCGACGAAAAGAGACTGTCTCAAAAAAACAAGTCATTGCTCACTTAATCTTGGAGGCCACGTGGGGGAGCATGGCATCTTCATCACGCCCTGGGGGAGCACACGGAGGCCCAGAGTTTCGTGATTCCTTCAAGGTCTCAAAGTGTGTCTTCTTCGCAGTGCTCGGTGATGCCCGTGGTTGCTTCTCAGTATGTTTTGCCGAAGGGATGCTCTGATTCAGGAGGCCAAGGTGGGACCTGGAATGTGCATTTCTAACCTTTTCCCAGGAGTGCTGAGGCCACTGGTCCAGGGGCCACCTTTGGGCCTAAGCTGCTAATTAACAACATGAGTCACTTTTTTTTTTTTTTTTTTTTTTTTTTTGAGACGGAGTTTCGCTCTTGTTACCCAGGCTGGAGTGCAATGGCGCGATCTCAGCTCACCGCAACCTCCGCCTCCCGGGTTCAGGCAATTCTCCTGCCTCAGCCTCCTGAGTAGCTGGGACTACAGGCACATGCCACCATGCCCAGCTAATTTTTTGTATTTTTAGTAGAGACGGGGTTTCACCATGTTGACCAGGATGGTCTCGATCTCTCGACCTCGTGATCCACCCGCCTCGGCCTCCCAAAGTGCTGGGATTACAGGCTTGAGCCACCGCGCCCGGCCATGAGTCACTTTTATCTGGTCCAGGCTTGTCACCCCCCAGCTGGAACCCAGAGCTCCCTGCTTCCTGCTTGGTCTCATTGCCAGTCCCCAGAACAGGACCCGGCACTGGCAGCGCTTCATCATGTTTTCTGGTGAATTACTGGGTCATGTGATGCAGGGTGGGACAAGGACAGCAGCCGGAGAGGCAGAACTGGCCAAGTCTTTGATGACCACGTGAAGAAGCACCCAGCCCTGAGGGCGAGAGGCCTCTCGGGTGCTGGCTGAGTCCAGGCCAAGAGTCTGGCCAGGAGCTGGTCACTGGTGGAGCTAGAGGCTTTTCAGGTGCGTCCTGGGATTTCTGACTTTCCCTCCTGACAGTTCTCAGCCCCAGCTGCCGGTGAGTCGCCTGGGAGCTTCGAAAAGTCCCAATGCCCTGGCTGCTGGCCACACCCAGACCAACCACATCAGAGTCGCTGGGATGCGGCCAGCTTATAGCAGCTTCTCCAAGGCTGAGAGCCACAGGTTTAGAGTCACTGCAGCATGGCAGGGGTGGGGGCAGGAGGGCAGGAGGCTTGGAAAAGGAACCCTGAACAGGCTCAAGAATGTCAGACACAGCCTTGGGAGGGGGTCCCAGCCCTGCCCTTGCTGCCAGCTGCCTCACCTGCATGGGCCCCCCCCTGCTGCTCACACTTGGTAACCTTATTACACTGCAGGCCCGTACACACCACTAAGGCCCAGGCAGTGCAGGTACCTTCACCCCACGGATCTGCAAGCTTGGCTCAACCAGGGAGCCGTGAAGCAGGCTAGAAAAACAGGACTCTGCAGGAAGCCAGGGCTCTGCTGAGTTTCCCAAGGCAGCTCTGTGGACCTGAGGCTGCTGGGTTAGACTGGATGGAGAGGATTCCCGCCAGGGAGAGGCTGGCCCAGCACCTGCTCTCCAGGCTTCAGTTGGCCCCTCAGTTAGGGCCAGGAGCAGCCTGTAAGCCCCACGCTGGGGCAGTGTGACTCTGGAGCCCGGGTGCCTGGGTTCAAAGCCCAGCTCTGGCCCTGGCTGACGCTGTGGCCTCAACTGTCTCAGGTGAAGGAAGAGTAACAGGAGGGGATGATGCAGGCAGTTTGTAGCTGGAACAGAGAGCGGGTCCCCTAGACAGGCTTGCTCGAACTGCGGCCAGCTCTTCCCTTCCTTAGGAGCTGGTCCCCAAATTCTTCTGATGGCACTCCCATCAGTGAACAACTTCTGAGCATTCCCAATAAATGCATATAAACTGCACTCACAGCTCTAAAAAAAATCAGAACACACTCTAAAAAAATTGCATTCACGAGACACTATTCTAATAGATTAGGTATATTATAAAATACGCAATAAAAATTAGACATTTTAAAGGGATGAGATAAAAATACAGATAGAATATTTTCATATGTTCTTCCTGATGCCCCTGGGGGTGTGTGTCCATCTTTGGGGACCCCAGAGGGAGGCCCTGGGGCCAATGAGGGGTCAGTGGTCACCAGGATCCTGGAAGGTGGAGTAAGGAGACCTGGAAGGGTCCCAGGGAGGCCTCGAGGATGCGGGTCCGGTTTACAGCTCCGGGCCGCTGGGGAAGCGGACTCTGTGGGTGGAGGCCGGGGTACCACGTGGTCCAGGGCAAGGGGAGCGCAGCCCCAGGGCATCCACGACGGAGGGGCCCGGCCGCGGGTCCCGGGATCCCGGGGAGCCAGGGCACGGGAATCCTGGGCAAAAGGACCGTGGGCGCGAAGCCCGAGAAGCAGGGGACTCCGGGCCCAGAGAGTCCCTCGGGCCTGGCTCCGGCAGCAGTCTCGACAGGTCCTCCACCAGGTGCCACTTCTCCTGAACCTGCTGCGAAGAGAGCGAGCAACGAACTGCAACAGGTGCGGCTTCCCACGAGCGCGTGGATCGGCAGCGGCTCCGTGGCCCACGGGACCGCCCGCCCCGGAAGTAGGCAGAGGCCCCGCCCCCGCCCGATAGCACACCCCCCGCGGCCACGCCCCACCAGAGTCCCGCCCCATACAGACCTAGACCACGCCCTCCAAGAGGCCCGCCCACAACGCATCCTGAGACCACGCCCCACCAGGGTCCCACCCCATGCAGATAGAGACCACGCCCTCTAAGGGTCTGCAGCCCAAGGCCACGCCCCGTTAGAGGCCCCACCCTGAGGCCACGCCTTAGCCATGTCGCTTTTCCGCCCGAGCTCTATTAAGCCTCTGTCCCCAGGCCTAAAGTCGTATCTTTTTTTTTTTTTTTTTTTTTTTGAGACTGGGTCTCGCTCTGTTGCCCAGGCAGGAGTGCAGTAGCAAGACACAGCTCACTGCAGCCTCCACCTCTTAGGCTCAAGCGATCCTCCCACCTCAGCCTCTAGAGTAGCTGCAACCACAGGTGCGAGCCACCATGCCTAGCTCATTTCTTTAATTTTTAGTAGAGAGGAGATCTTTTTTTTCTTTTTTCTTTTCTTTCTTTTTTTTTTTTTTTGAGACAGAGTTTCACTCTTGTTACCCAGGCTGGAGTGCAATGGCGCGATCTCGGCTCACCGCAACCTCCGCCTCCTGGGCTCAGGCAATTCTCCTGCCTCAGCCTCCTGAGTAGCTGGGATTATAGGCACGCTCCACCATGCCCAGCTAATTTTTTGTATTTTTAGTAGAGACGGGGTTTCACCTTGTTCACCAGGATGGTCTCGATCTCTTGACCTTGTGATCCACCCGCCTCGGCCTCCCAAAGTGCTGGGATTACAGGCTTGAGCCACCGCGCCCGGCCCAGTAGAGAGGAGATCTTGCTATGTTGCTCAGCCTGGTCTCAAACTCCTGAACTCAGGCAGTCTTCATGCCTCGGCGGGACCCACTGCACTCAGCCATATTCTCTTTTTAAATAATTAATTATTGGTTTTTGGTAGAGATGGGGGTCTTGCTTTGTTGCCCAGGCTGGCTTTGAACTCATGGCTTTAAGCTATCCAATCCTCCTGCCTGGGCCTCCAAAGCATTGGGATCACAGGCCGAGGCCCGGCCCCTGTCTCAGGAGCCCCAGCCATTCCCTTCCTCCCCTTCCCCATCTTTACCCTCAGCCTGAGGCCACGCCCTCCAGCTCAGCCCTGTCCTAGGCCCTAGGCCACACACACACGGAAGGGTTTCCACCGAAGCTGCCATCCCCTTGCCATCCCCTTGCCAGCCACTCACCCACACCAGCTGCTTCCGGAGCCTGTGGATGGCCCTGGCATTGGCCTGGGTCTGGGAGATGCACACGGTTAGGACAAGGCTTGGGTTGGAAGGAGATTCATTGTCAGTGGCCCCTGGGGCCACAGGCGCCTCTCCCTGACTTCCTCTCTCCCCACTTCAATCTCTTCAACATTCGATACTGGGGTCTCCTCACTGCACACTGCTGTATCTGAGGATGGGACCGTCCTCTCCTTCCTCACAGGGTCCCCCATCCCCTCACCTCTAGCACAGCAATACCAATAGCTCAGCGGCTGCTGCTGCCCAGACATGGTGCTTCCCTGGTGATCCTGCAATCCCCACGGCAGCACAGACAGTGGGCCCAGGAGGTGCCTCCTTTTCGGGGGCCCCTGCTTCCCTTGGCTTCCCAAATCTGGCTCCTGGCTGGGGGTGCACAGGCTCGCCACCCCCATGGAAGAAAAGAAGAACCTCCCCTTCCAGGTGCCCCTTCCACGAGCCCTGCTGCCCTGAGCACCTGAGCATGACGAGGAGCGGGAAGCTGAAGGCGTGGGAGCCCAGGTAGTGGAGGGCACGCTGGCCAAGGGGCGGGAGTCCAAGGGCCACCAGCTCCGGGACCACTTGCCAGGGGGCTGAATAGTTAGTGAAGAGGCCACAGTCCAAGGAGGAGTGGATGCTGGAGAGAGATGGCCAAGGGGGGCTGGCGTCATGGTCCTGGGCGAGGAGCTGCCCCTGCCAGCCTCCAGGTGCCCCTCCTCCTCCCCTCACCTGCTGACCACATAGCCCAGGGGCACCACGGCCAGGAGCAGGCCCAGGAGGAGCACCAGCTGGAAGAAGAAAGTGGAGCTGGAGGCTCGGAAGGGCCGCGAAGACGCCCTGGAGTTCTTCAGGAGGGTGTACTGGGGGCACAAGCAACAGCAACCAGGAGTCAGCCAGGTGTGCGGACCCCAGGGGACTGAGGCCAGGGAAGCGGGCAGGAGCAGGGAGCGAGGCCGGCTGAAGGCGCCCACCCAGCCGCGAGCCATCACCTTTTTGATGTAGAAGGTGAGGAAGAGGAAGACGCTATTCAGCAGGGGCAGCAGGGGGCAGTAGAAGAGACCCATCCAGGTGACCGTCTGCGCCGCCACGATGTCCAGCACATTCTTGGGCACCAGGAACTCCTCCCGGTCCAGCCAGGCCCAGAACCGGCCTGAGAACCGGTCCACCAGCAACCTGCAGGCACGAGAGGGCCCACGGAGGATCCAGGTACCCCCCACTGCAGGCGGATGCGTGGGCCCTATCGGTCGTGGTGGCTGCAGCCTGTCATTCGCTCCTGGGCTCCACGCTGGACCCGCTCACCCTTGGCTGTAGCCACTGGCCATCCCCCAACATGCCCGAAGCACCCTCCCCCTCCCCGAGGGGTGCCCCCGTCACTCACCTCCGAGGCAAGGTGACCAGGAAGGCGAAAGCCACGGTGAGGAGGAAGTTGAAGATACTCAGTTTGTACAGCTCCTCTCCTACGGAGTTCTCCCAGCACTGGGGTGCAGAGGAAGGGGACCAGTCACCACTCACGGCCCGCCCTCCCTTCCCTTAGCCTCTTGTGGGGGTCTCTGTGGCACAGGCGCCTTGCCTGGAGTCTGATAGAATCGCTAGGTGGAAACCCAGTCCTTGAGAATGGGATTAGAGCAGAAAAGCCCCAACCAGGGCAGCCTCATGACACCACATGGCAGCAGTGGCGCCCCCTAGGGGTGTGCCACGGTGCAGGCAGCTCTGCTCACAGCTGCTCTCAAAGGTGACTAAGGGGCAGGAACAGGGCTCAGCACAGTTGGAGGTGGGCTTTTGGGGAGAAGGAGGGGAGGGACAGGCCCCACGGGGCTGCCAGCCACCTGATAGTCACAAGCGTTGTAGCCGTAGGACTCACAGCTGGTCTTGTCTCTGCCAATGCACAGGATGGTCTGACCCAGAGAGAAGGAGAACATCCCCAAGCTGGCCAGCTTCAGTACCACGCACCTGGGGGCGGGGACCTTGTCAGGCAGAGGGGCCCAGGCACATGGACACCGGGCTCCCCCCAGGCTACAAACGTGGCTGATGTCTGAGTGGCATCGTGAGATCGTGTTGTGCCTTGGGCCCAGCCTCCTTCCAACCAGCTCTGTGTGCGGCAGCATGGTTTGAAGTATGTTCCCAGGGTCTGAGTCTCCAGATGACTCACGGGAAAAGGGTTCTGCGGTTTTTTTGAGACTGAGTCTCACTCTGCCGCCCAGGCTGGAGTTCAGCGGCGTGACCTCGGCTCACTGCCACCTCTGCCTCCCGGGTTCAAGTGATTTCTGACTGATTTTTTGTGTTTTTAGTAGAGACAGGGTTTCACCATGATGGCCAGGCTGGTCTGGAACTCCTGACCTCAGGTGATCCACCCGCCTCGGCCTCCCAAAGTGGTGGGATTACAGGCGTGGGCCACCGCGCCCGACCAAGGGTTCTGTTTTTAAAGCAGTCTGAGAAACACTGCACAGTCCAGCCACGTCCCCCCACACCTGGTGTGGAGAACACCGACGCCATGCCCTGCCGTGGAGAAGCCTGTGGCCTTTTCAGGACCCTGACTGCAGGCAAGCGCCTCCTTCCTCCACCACCTGCGGACCTCCAAGTCCACTGACGTCAGCCTGCACGTCATACGTCTGTGCCACACGTAGGCACTTCACGACGCACGGCCAGACCACATAGGTGTGATTGCCTAAACTGAAACATCATCACATGCCTGTTGTCTGATGTTTGTTTTTGAGATAGGGTCTTACTCCATTGCTCAGCTGGAGTGCAGTGATGCAATCACAGCTCCTTGTAGCCTTGACCTCCCAGGCTTAAGTGATCCTCCCACCTCAGCTCCTCTAGTAGCTAGGACTGTGTGCCACCATGCACAGCTAATTTTTTTGTATTTTTTTTGTAGAGATGGGGTCTTGTCATGTCGCCCGGGCTGGTCTCAGATGCCTGGGCTTGAGTGATTCTCCCATCTTGGCCTTCCAAAGTGTCGGGGTTACAGGCGTGAGCCACTGTGCCCGGCCGCATGTGATCTCTAAGGGTGGACATTCCCACTGCTGATACAGGGCTAGAGAGCGGCTGGGAACAATGCTTTTCCTGTTGAGTGAGGCAGGGGTAGGTGAGAGCTTTTTTATTTAGAGACAAGGTATTGCTCTGTCACCACGACTGGAGTGCCCTAGTGCGTCTTCAAACTCCTGGGCTCAAGCCATCCTATTCCCTCAGCCTCCCAAGCAGCTGGGACTACAGGTGTGCACCACCAAAGTCGGCTAATTTTTTAATTTTTTGTAGAGATGGGGGTCTTGCTGTGTTTGCCAGGCTGGTCTTAAACTCCTGGGCTCAAGCAATACTCCCACCTCGGCCTCCCAAAGTGTTGGGATTATAGGCGGGAGCCACTCAGCTCGGTCCAAGGGTTTATTTTTTAAATCTTCATCCTGTTAAGCTTTTTGATTTTTTTTTTTTTTTTTTTTTTTGAGACGGAGTTTCGCTCTTGTTACCCAGGCTGGAGTGCAATGGCACGATCTCAGCTCACCGCAACCTCCGCCCCCTGGGTTCAGGCAATTCTCCTGCCTCAGCCTCCTGAGTAGCTCGGATTACAGGCATGTGCCACCATGCCCAGCTACTTTTTTGTATTTTTAGTAGAGACGGGGTTTCACCATGTTGACCAGGTTGGTCTTGATCCCTCGACCTCGTGATCCACCCGCCTCGGCCTCCCAAAGTGCTGGGATTACAGGCTTGAGCCACCGCGCCCGGCCTTTTTTTTTTTTTTTTTGAGCAGAAGTCTTGTACCGTCACCCAGGCTGGAGCGCAATGGCACAATCTCAGCTCACTGCAACCTCCGCCTCCCAGGTTCACACGATTCTCCTGCCTCAGCCTCATGAATAGCTGGGATTACAGGTGCACACCACCACACCTGGCTAATTTTTTGCATTTTTAGTAGAGACGGGGTTTCACTAGGTTGGCCAGATTGATCTCGAACTCCTGACCTCATGACCCGCCCACCTTAGCCTCTCAAAATGTTGGAATTACAGGTATGAGCCACTGTACCCGGCCGAGCATTTTGAATTTTTTAGTACACGCATGTGTTATAAACGCTTCAAAAAATAAAGGTGTTTCTTGTTTTTCTTTTTCTTTTCTTTTTTTTTGAGACAGGGTCTGACTCTCTCATCCAGCGGCACAATGACTACTCACTGCAATGTCCGCCCCCAGGTTCAAGTGATTCTCCTGCTTCAGCCTCCCGAGTAGCTGGGATTACAGGCATCCCACATCATGTCCGACTAATTTTTGTATTTTTAGTAGAGGCGGGATTTCACCATGTTGGCCAGGCTGGTCTCAAACTCCTGACCTCAGGTGATCCGCCCACCTTGGCCTCCCAAAGTGCTGGGATTACAGGTGTGAGCCACCGCACCTGTCCTCAAAAACTAGTTTCAGAGCAAACCAAACACAGCTGACTTTGAGGAAGCAGAGGGAAAAGCAGTTAGGGCAAGTGGCGGGTGAGGGTTGGGGGCGGGAGAGGCGCCAGTGGGAGCTCAGGTGGGCTTCACACAGAATTCCTCTGGCTGGGTGAGGGGTGGAGAAGTAGGGAATCTAGACAGGATCCACGTGCTGAGACAGAAGGTGGCAGAGCCTTGGGGTGGCGGTCCCGGCGGCTCCAGCGGGAGGAGGGCTGGAGCCCAGGAGGTCAAGGGCTTGCTTTTAACTTGCTGCCGGCAGGCACCATGGGCTTGACTTTGGCTGGGCACTTCACCCATGTGAACCTCAGTTTCCTCATCCCTCAAAGGGGATCTATCTATCTATATTTTTTTTTTGGAGAGATGGGGTTTCACCATGTTGGCCAGGCTGGTCTCAAACTCCTGACCTCAGGTGATCTGCCCACCTCGGCCTCTCAAAGTGCTGGGATTACAGGCATGAGCCACTGTCCCAGCCTGGGGTTTTGTATTTTGAGTAGAGACGGGGTTTCACTATTTTAGTAGAGACATGTCACGTGAGGGCTGTCCAGGTAAGGGTGTAAGCCCTCAGGGTGCAGAAGCTCTGCGTGTCCCGTGTTGCCGGTTTTTCGGTGTGAGAAGCCCGTTCCCCGCACCCCTGGCTGCAGTGCCTTGCCCTGCTGAATGGCCGGAGCTTGGTCCAGACTGGCGGCCTCCTTCGGAGCTGGGGGATTGGAAAGCCTTAGACCTGGGGCCCCGAAGTTGTGTGCTGTGAGGTGTCCACCTGCCTTCCCTTGGGCCACTAGTGAACGGGGAAGCCTCTCAGCTGGGGGACCCCAGGTGCCAGGTGACAACCGAAAGAGAATGGTGGCCAGGTGTAGTGGCTTACGCCTGTGATCTCAGCACTTTGGGAGGCCTAGGCGGTGGATCACCTGAGGTCAGAAGTTCGAGACCAGCCTGGCCAACATGGTGAAACCCTGTCTCTATTAAAAATGCAAAAATTAGGCCGGGCACAGTGGCTCCCGCCTGTAATCCTAGCACTTTGGGAGGCCGAGGTGGGTGGATCACCTGATGTCAGGAGTTCAAGACCAGCCTGGCCATCATGGTGAAACCCCATCTTTAGAAAAAAAAAAAAAAATGGAAAACGTAGCCAGGCACGGTGGCGGGAGACTGTAGTCCCAGCTCCTTGGGAGGCTGAGGCAGGAGACTTGCTTGAACCCGAGACGTGGAGAGGCAGAGGTTGCAGTGACTCGAGATCGTGCCACTGCACTCCAAAAAACAAAAACGAACACAGAGCAGCAGGATGTGGGCCACCACGTGCCCACTTGTCCCCGCCACAGCTGGCACTCACCAGATCAGGGTGAGGTTGACCTCGGTGTTGGGAGGGTACTTCTCCAGCTGGACCAGGGATGTGAACAGCAGGGGACCCAGGAAGTTGACCAGGGCGATGGCCCCAGGGGGCAGGTACTGGAGCAGCAGAAACAAGGACTCCTGCAGGAAAAGGCAGGTCAGGGGAGCTGCATGCTGGGGTGGCCCTGTCGGCTCCCTGCCCCCCATAGCCCCCTAAAGTGTAACTCTGGGACAGGCTGGGAATAAGGAAGCCCACAGGCCATTCCCTTCAGCAGCCTGGCAGTCTGCGGGGATATCCGGTGGGGGCCCGCCTGCCCTGGCAGTGACCTGTGGTGGCCGCGACCAATTTAACTTCTCTGAGCCTCAGTTTTCTCATCTGTAAAATGGGATCATCCCATCTCCCCCCCACCACGCAGTTCTGGCCAGGATTAAATGAATGTAGTTGCCCGGCACCTCCTTGTTGTCCTGTGAGTACTTGGTAGCCCAGAAGATGGCGCTGATGGCCCCAACCACCAGGAGCCCGATGAGTACGTTGACCCTCAGGTAGGAGAGCAGGTGGCAGACCCTCTGGGCCCGGGTCTGCTGCTGCATCAGCTGGAAGTGACGGCCCTCCTCCAGCTCCACCTGCCAGAAAGGGTGGGGACAGAGGCAGCTGAGGGCAGGGTGGGCCCGGCGGGGTGGGTGTGGGAGGGACAGGTGCAGGAAACGCTGTCGCATGCAGAAACACGCTCCCACACTGCCACGCTCCCGCAGACACTCAGCTTCACACATTCAGCCACATGTGGCCTCACATGCAGCCACACATCCGCACACATTCACACGCTCTCGGTCACGTTCCCACAGGCTCCCACACACGTTCACACACACTAGCATGGTCACGTCGGTCACACACGCTCACACAGGCTGGCGGGGTCACACCTGCTCACACACGCTGGTGCGGTCACACCTGCTCACATACGCTGGCGCGGTCACACCGGTCACACACGCTCACACACCCTGGCGTGGTCACACAGGCTCACACACACACCTTGAACTCATTTCGGATCTCATGCTTCTTGATGGTGGCCGCTTCCTGCACCCGGATGCAGAAGTCCCAGGAGGAGAAGACCTTGCTGCTGAGAGGCACCTTGTAGTCCTGACCCAGCAGAGTCTTCTGCGGCAGCCCCTTCACCATCCTGCGGGGCAGGAGACCAGGGGATTCTGGAGGAGGGGCACCTCTACCATCCAGCGTCAGCCTCGGCTGGGCTCTGGGTCTGGGGTGGGGACAGCCCTGGCAGCCCCAGGTGCAGGCCCTGGTGAGTGAGGAGTCGGGGCAGGGGGTGGTGGCCGTGTTCATAAGGTCTGCCAGAGCCTGGGCTAAGGAATCACCCAGAAGCCAGCGGTGCGGGGCCAGGGGCCTTCCTGCCAGTGGGAGGGTACCCTGCCAAGGAAGGGGTGATCAGGGAAGATGGCCCCGGCAATGGGTGAAGGCGTGGGCTTCGCTCTCACCGCTGCAGAGTTCCACAGAAGCAGAGGAGCAGGCAGCCCAGTGGGCTGAGGAGGTAGGCCAGGCGGATGCTGTATGCTGAGCTGCTCTCAGGCCCCACCCGGTACGCTCCATAGAAGAGGTAGGTGTTGGTGAGGGCCTGGGGACAGCGATGGAGATGCCCAGCCCAGGTGAGCGCCAGGCGCTGCTCAGAGGCTTTCCATAGAGGATCTCATTTACCCCCTGAAATCCCCACCAGGTAGGGAGTGTCCCATCGTACAGAGGCCCACAGAGGTTTGGCAACTGCCCCAGGTCACAGGGCTTTGAGAAAGAGCCAGGACTGGAACCCAGGACCCCCGATGGGAACCACTCCCCCAACGGCTTCCCCGATGAGGGTGGGGAAGTGCTTCTCCCAGAGGCGGGAACACTTTTCCCCTTTTGTCCCTTGCAACCCTACACCAGCTGGGCTCCGGGGGCCATGGGCACGTGCCCCTGAGTCCGTGTGGGGCACAGCGGCCTCTGCCTGTCTCTAACCCCACCAATGGCCAGCCCAGTCTGTCTGTGTAAGACCATCACGGAGGAGCCGAAATGCCCCTGGAGAGGTAGAGATCCTCTGAGACTTGTGTCCCCTGAAGCCACTTCCCTGGGTCTCCCAGACTCTGTGGACCACAGCCAGGACGGACACCACTCACCCTGCCAGTTAAAACATGCCAAACTTGATTGTGGAACTTCAAAACGCCGGTCTGGGACTGGCTGCTTCCGGGGCACTGGAGGGCTGTTGGGAGGGAGGTGCTGATCGAGAGGGATCCGCGCGGCGGTGCAGATACCGGATACCGCTCCACAGCCCCGACCCCGGGGAGGCCTGAGCAGGGCGCTATGGTTGTGCCGGGGTGTGCCCCACACAAGGCGGGGTCAGGGAGAGAGAGCCCCGGCCTGGCATGGCGGGAGCACGCCCAGGGTTGCCCCGCGCTCTGGGTCCTGGGCCAGCCCCCCGGTGGCGCAGGTGGGCACCGGAGCTCTCCCCCTGGTGGGCCCCGCGCTTACTCAAGTTCAGGGCGGGGCCTGGGTCAGCGGGGCTGAGCCAGGCCAGGGGTAGCAGCACGAAGCTGGCGGTGGGCAGCAGGCTCAGCAGGTTGAGTAGCAGCAGGAAGCGGAGGAAGGTGAAGTAGGACTGGATTCCGGTGCCGAACAGGCCTGCGGGGGCGTGGGAGGGGGAGCAGGGTGGGCCGGGGAGGCCGGGACCGGGCTGAGAGTCCAAGGGCGGGGTGGCCGCCCGGCTCCCACCCACGCGAGTCCGGCGGCGCGGCTGACAGCCACCTGGGGGTGCTGCGTGGGCCTGGGGTTTGCGGTGCCCGAGGGCGGAGGGGCAGGAGGGAGGAGGGGCTGATTGGTCTGGGGACCCGGGTGGGATGACGCCTCACTCATTTTTTCCGATCTGGGCAGTGGGGCTCCGGAGAGGGCAAGGGGAGGCGGGGTCCGCGCGGGTCCTACCCCCGATCTCGTAGAGAGCCCCCTCCCAGAGCCCCAGGCCCCGGGCCAGCCGCTGTGCCGCCTCCCGCAGGCGCCTTTCCACCGTCTGCCGCCGGCGCTGCCACCGCTGCCAGCGCAAGGTCTGCGTTCCCGCGGGCTCACGCAGCTGCCTGGACGCGGGTGGGGACAGGGGCGACCCTGAGTCACCCGCCCTGCCCGCCCGCGCCAGGCAGACGCGCACGGGCTGGGGGAGTCTTCCCGCCCCATCTGACGGGGCAGCCTCGAAGCGCCCCCCATCCACCATCCGGCGCCCGCGTGGCACCCACCAGATGAGGCGCTTGTCCATCATGGCATAGGGCAGCCCGCGCACGGGTGCCCCGGAGCATCGCAGCCGCTCCATCTCCGCCTCCCACAGCTCCTCGGGCTCCGGCCCCCCAGGGCCCCGTTCCGACGTCACCGACTGTGGTCGCAGCATCTCGGCGGGTGTGGGTAGAGGCTGGGGCGCGGGGCTGCGGGTGGGGGGGATGTGGGGCCCTGGGTGGATGAGTCGCAAGGCCTCGGCCCTGGCCTCTGTGCGCGCTGGGCTGGGGGCGGGCCCTTCCTTCCCCTCCACACTGGCGTCAGGGCCTGGTCTCCCGCCGCCCGAGGGTCCACTTGCAGGGGTCTGTGGCCTGGCCGCCTCCGGGGCTCGGAAATGAGGAGAGAGAATCCTGGTGTGGTCGAATCCGGACTCAGTCCTGCTCCAACTCTCAGAGGGACACACAGCCCCGGCCTCAGTCTCCCCATCTGTCAAATGGGGTGAAAGACCCAAAGGGCACAGAAAGAAGGACGGTTACAGGCAAAGCCAAGACCTGCTGCACTGTGCGCCCACCTGTGCCCAAGCCCACCGGTGCCCACCTGTGCCCGAGCCCGCCGGCGCCCACCTGCGCCCTGCGGAGAGACAATTCCCGCTTTTCTCCATGTGCCAGTTTGCCCTTCTGGAAGAGCCCGTGTCCCCAACCCCACAGTTCTTGGGACTCAGCATCTGCTGCATCTGATGTCAGGGGATCCCCTTCCATCTTCCTTCTCCTGGTCCAGCCTCCAAGCCTGGGTCTGCCCAGGTATCCCCAAGACCTCCCGAGGAGGAGCTGTGGCTATAGCCCCAGCCGTGGGGACAGGAGCAGGGGACCCACTGCTGCCCTTGTGAGGCTCTAGCCGGCCCTCCACAGCCCGTCACCCTCTGCATCCTCCCTCCACTCGACATCCAGCTCACCTGGGGACCAAGGGATCAAGTCCCTGGAGGAGTCCCGTTCTCAGATGGCTCCTGCCGAAGCAGGCAAGGCCGTAAGGGAGTCCAGGGGAGGGCTCACGTGACAGGAACCACAGCTTCCCCTCCACTACCTCCCTCCTCCCTTCCCACCCCACTGTTTCCTCTGCTCTAAACTGAGGCTGAGCAGGCACTTCCTGAGGGCCCCTGAGACGCAGAGTTGCAGGTGACAGGCGCTGTCGGCTCGTGCTCCCTGGCAGCTCCGTGTGCACTGGTCTGGGGATGGGCCCTTCCTTCCCCTCTGCGCAGGAGCCTGGTCTCCTGTGGCCTTAGGGTCCACTGGTCCGGGTCTGCCCCCTGGCTGAGGCCCTCTCTGTTTGCCCTTGGGGCCTGACCTGGGAGGCTGACATGGGTGGGGATGTGGACGCCAGGGGCGCAGGGGCCAAGCTCTTTATCTGCCTGCCACAGGGTCCCTGGAGGGTGTGATATGACAGAATGGTGGGGTCCCCTGAAACCCAGCTGCTGGGTTTCCAGATACTCCTGATGTTACTGCTGGACTTCTTGCCTCTGTCGTTGGTACTACCATTGTGCCAAGGCCCAGGCCTGGCACCTGGTCCATAGTAAGTGCCCAGGAATCGGCTCCATTCGTGCTTGCCCAGGCTAGATGTTTAAGACACACCTTTGCCAATTTCCTGTCCCCGGCCCCTGGGGGGCCCACAGCCCTTCCTCCCTGCTCTGTCTCCACCTGCTATAGGGCCCAGTCATCTCAGGTCTGAATGTTCATAGCTTTTCTCCCTCTCTGCCCGAGGCATCCTTCCTGATTTCCAGAGTCCTTGCTGTGTGTCAGGTCGGAGCCGTGTGCTGGTGCTGGGCACACAGTGGGCTGGGGTGGGAGGGGGCACAGTGCCACAGATGTGCATGTCAATAGGAAGTGGCAGGTGCTCCACCAGGGTTCAATCTGGGGAGGCTCCCCAGAGGAGGTGGCATTCATGCAAATTCAGTGTGGGTATGCAGGGAAGGGGAAGAGTGGGAGGAGAGGCAGGGGCTTGGCCTCCATGCCAGGGTGCCACTTGTCAAGAACCAGCTTGGGGTAGCCATCTGAGGACCACACTGGCAGCTGCAAAAGGCCCTGTCCTCGGCCCCTGCCTGGGCCTCGCTTCTGCCTGCCTGCTCTCCCTGGCAGCAGCACCCTCTCCTGCCCTCCTGGGCCCCAGCTCACATTCACTCTCCTGCTTCATGGCCTCTCCCCACCAGGAATGACCCTCCCTTTCAAATGGGCTTGGGGTGGGGGCTGCCATCCCAAAGCCACTTTCCTCCATAGGGTTCCCAGGTGGACCACCAAGTCTCATGCTTTGCATGGGGGCACCCTAAAGGGTGATTAATCTCCCTCAGCCTCAGTTTCCTCACCTGCAAAATGGGAATATCAGTGCATACCTTCCTGGCTCATGGGGAATAACAGAAAACAGAGCAACAGGTAAAGCACTTTCGGGTCCAGCACCTGGGGACGTTCACGTTAACTGTCACTGTGACCTCATTTCACCCCCTCCTCTCCACACAGCACACAGGAAGTGAGCCAGAACTCTTACAGATAAACAATGAGCCCCACCGGGGTGTCAGGAGGGGGAGATAACCAGGCCCCCCCAGCGTGGGTCGGGGAGAGTCAGCCGGAGGCTTGCAGTTGTGTGTGTGTGTGTGTGTGTGGGGGGGGGGTTTGCCCAATCTGGTGTGAAAGACTCTGTGTTCCTCGGGCTTTCAGCGGCATCTTTCATGGATGATCCCTAACCATGGGAAGCAGATGGGTCTGGAATTATCGTCCCTTTTTGGAACTTGGGGAAACTGAGTCTCACAAAAAGTGGGGACTTCCACCAGGGACTTGGATGAATCCAGACACTCGGCCCCCCTCACCCGGCTCAGACCTCAGAATGCGGTGCGAGGAGGGGTCGCAAGTTGGCAGAGGAGGAAGGCACAGTCGCCGCGGGGCGCCCGGAGGAGGGAAGGGGGCGCCGCGGGCAGGACCACGTGACAGCCGAGGCCAGTCGCCCAGTGGGCCGGGCGCTGCAGCTCCACCCGGCCCCGCCAGACCTGCGTCGGCCCAGGGGCCCCCTGGGGTCCTTTGCCACTCCCTCCCACGGACCCCGCGGCCCCTCCCTCGGTTCCCGGCGGCCCTGGCGGGGCACAGGTGAGCCCGGCTGCGCGCGCGGCCCCTCCTCCCCGCGCGTCCCAGGTGAGCGGCCGCGATCCCGGTTCCGGGTCCCGCGGGGCTGCAGCTCGCGGCGGGGTGGGCGTGGGGGCGGCGCGCGGGTCTTGCCAGCCGCGGTCGCTTTTCCCCTGCGGGGACGGCGGCAACCCCTCCCGAACTCCTTTCGGCCACTGGGGCTCCTTGGCAGCCGGGTTCACTCCCCGCTGCTCCCGGAGCTCCCAGGGGTTGACTCTCCGGCTTTGGACCGAGCTGGGAGCGGGAGGGGCGGGGAGGGCAGCCCCAGAACCCCCAGCCGGGCCCCGGGGCACCGGGGAAGGGAGGGAAGCGGCCGGGATGGGAAGGGGCGGGGAGGCCGGGTCGCGCGTGCGGGACCACTGGCCGCGAGGGGCGGGGAACAGGGAGGCCGGCTGGGCGGGGACCGGTGGCCCCGAGTTGCCGCCGCCCTGGGCTCCGGGGCCCGGTTGCGGCTCTCCCTGGGTAGCGGCTGCTCCCGGGGAGCTCGCTGCCGGCTGCGGTGTGGGTTCCTGGAAACGGGCGCCACCCAGCCCCTCCCCACCTGGCTCAAGGCTCAGGAATGGTGCGCCCCGGAAACTCCGCTGGGCTTGCCCGGGCCTCGGCCGGGGTGCTGGGGCGCTGGGTCCCCGGGTCCCCCGGAGCTTCGGAGGGCCTGACTGGAGGAAGGGATTGCAGCTCTAGGGACTGGATGGGGCGCCCTCAGCCCCTCCTTCGGCAGCTGTCCCGGGTTAGGCTGGGTGGGGGCCGCCTCGGACCCAGCTCTGGGCTGGTTTCCCCACATCTTACTCTTGCTGGAGGGAGGGGAGGGCTGGTGGTGTGGGGCCTGGGCTGAGGATGGCACCCTGGACACTGAGGGAGGACACCATCTGGCCCTGGGACTGGCAGCCCTGCAGGGAGCTGTCCTGTCGGGGCACCGGGCTTTGGCTGCCCGAGTCAGCGCCCTTCCACGCGGCCCACCGACTTTGAGCCCTGAGTTCCCTGAGGGTGAGGGCAGGAGAATCCCAGGGAAGAGGCCTGGGCCACTCGCTGGTGGCTGGGACAGAGTCCTGGCTCCACTCCCGCAGGGCGAATCGGCCCGGAGCCAGGGCCCCTGGCAAGGCCGCTCTGGTTCCAATTGTGCCGGGTGGCGGCAGAGCCAGGACAAAGGAGGCCTGTTGAGGCCCTGGCCACCCCTCCCCAGCTGGCCTCCCTGGGATGATGGAATTCGGGACAGCGGGTCTTCTGAGAACAGAAGGACCTTGGAGCCCCGCTGGGGGTGGTGGGAGGGACACCGTGTGGGGGAGGAGCGTCCTGTCTGCTGCTTCCGCCTGGGGCTGGGGTGAGGGCTCCAGCAGCTGAGTTCCTGCTAGAGGAAGTGCTTTGGGGTCACAGGGCAGACGCAGAGGCCTCCAGCCTGTCCTGCCTTTTCTCTCCAAAGAGGAGGTATCTCTGGGCCAGAACCCCGGGAATGGAGGGTCTGAAAGGGCCGTGTCTACAGGCACCCCACCTCTTCCGCATTTCCCAGGCACTGGCGCCATCAAGGAAACAGGGACCTGCAGGCCCACACCCTTCCTTCCTCTCTCCCCTCCCCAGACTCTGGAGGGGCCCCTAGTCCATTCCGGCATGAGGCTTATACCAGCCTGACCGCGAGTTTACCTGGGGTGGGGGGGTGGGCAGGACTGCCTGGGCTGTAAGTGGCACCTGCCGTGGGCGGTGTGGATGCCCGCCAGGCATTGAAGGCGGGCTCTGGCTCAGTGCCGCTGTCTTGTCAGATGGGCAGCAAGAGGCTCCGGAGGCGGCGTCCAGGCTCTGAGCTGGCCTAGGTCCGCAGACTGGCGGGGTGTTGGCCATGGACACAGCCCAGCCACCGCCCTTTGTCCTCGATGTCCCTGAGACCCCAGGGGACCAGGGGTAAGTGCTCTGGGGCTGGGGGCTGGAGGCTGGAATGTTCCACCCCCATGGAGAGGTCACCTGAGCAGGGGCCTGAGGAAGGAGACAGGCAGCTGGAGCCTGACCCCCACCCACTCCCCACAGCAGCCGGGAGCCCAGTCCCTATGATGAGAGCGAGGTGCACGACTCCTTCCACCAGCTCATCCAAGAGCAGAGCAGGTGGGCTGCCCAGGAGGGGCTGGAGCTGCAGCAGAGAGCGAGGGGGGCCGCAGGTGAGCTCCGGCCTGGCTGCTGGGAGGTGTGGGCCGAGACTGGGGTGCCCCAGCCCCTCAGGACGGGCCTCCCAGCTCTGCAGGCCTAGGGTGCGGTGGGAGAGACAGTGGCCAGAGGCATCTCCGGGACCCCTGGTGAGTCTTTCTTGCTTTGCAGGGAGTGGCCTGCACACACTGTCGGGGTCTGAGGGCGCCCACAGCACGGCCACCCTCCGCATCCTGGCCAGCATGCCCAGCCGCACCATTGGTGAGTGGGACCCTCGGCCTCGCCCTGAGTCGGTCCCGGTGCCTGGGCTGGGCTGGGCATCTGCGTGGCTCAGAGCCAGGCCCCGTGCGGGTTCCTAGCCCACCCCGGCTGCTGCCTGGACAGCCCCATGCGGCCCTCGCTGGGCTCCAAAAAAGACTCCAGAGTCGTCATGGGATAAAAATAGTCTCTTGGAATGCAGTGGAGTCCAGAGTCTCTGCTGAAAAGATTTTCCTGGGTCCTGGGAAGGGGCGAGGGACAGGGAGGCCTATGGTGAGCCCATCCTAGGGGAGGGAGGCCTGGCCCTGCCTGGCCCAGTCTTGCCCAGCCGCCTCCGTAGGCCGCAGCCGGGGTGCCATCATCTCCCAGTACTACAACCGCACGGTGCAGCTTCGGCGCCGGAGCAGCCGGCCCCTGCTGGGGAACTTGGTGCGCTCTGCCCGGCCCAGCCTCCGCATGTACGACCTGGAGCTGGACCCCAGGGCCCAGGAGGAGGAGGGTGAGTAAGTGGGCACCAGAGCCCCAGTGGCAGACAGACACTGGCATGGGGGGGGGTGCGGGAGGCCAGCCTGGTGGCGGGGGGCTGGGGTTCGGCCGAGCTCGGGCCCCCTCCCCTATCCCTTAGCAGGCTGCCTGAAGGCTCCTCCGTCCCTCTGCAGGGACCCACGGGGACAGGGAAGGGGGGTCTTACCTCACAAGCATCTTGGAGTGCTCAGAGTGTTGTGACCCTGGGCCCCGCGCTGGGGACGGTGCAGGGGAAACACGCCGTCTTGTCTGTGAGCTTCCTGCTCAACTCAAGCAAACACGTGGGCGACCTGCGATTCAGGGTCAGATAAGGGCACCGATGAGTCAGGACGGTGCCTCAGGGACACACAGCCCTGTCCAGGGTCCCGGCTGCGGGTGGCAGGGAGGGGCACTGGGGATGGACGGGACCTGCCTCTCCCTCTCGCAGAGAAGCAGAGCCTCCTGGTGAAGGAGCTCCAGAGCCTGGCAGTGGCGCAGCGGGACCACATGCTTCGAGGGATGCCCTTAAGCCTGGCTGAGAAACGCAGCCTGCGGTGAGTGCCCCGCTCCCCCACCGGCTCCTGCGCCCCTAGCCCCCGTGCCCCCAACCCCCAGGCTGGGCCAGGTGGTTCGGAAGAAGGGGCTGAGCCTGTGGGTGGCTGGTCCCCAGGAAGGAGGGAGTCGGGCTCCTCATTGGTCTGGTCACCTATGGCTGCTTCTGTCCCCAGAGAGAAGAGCCAGACCCCGAGGGGGAAGTGGAGGGGCCAGCGGGGCCACGGCGGCGTCTGCTCCTGCTGTGGCTGGCTCAGATATGCCTGCGTGCTGGTAGAGGCCCCTGGTCTGCCCCAGGGCTGGGGCAGCTGGGCAGGGCCCCATCGCCTGGGTCCCTCCTCCTGCCTCACCCTCAGGGCCTCTCTGCTTGTGCCCGCAGACCTTGCACAGCCTGGGGCTGGCGCTGCTCTCCAGCCTGCAGGCTCTGACGCCGTGGCGCTACGCCCTGAAGCGCATCGGGGGCCAGTTCGGCTCCAGCGTGCTCTCCTACTTCCTCTTTCTCAAGACGCTGCTGGCTTTCAATGCCCTCCTGCTGCTGCTGCTGCTGGCTTTCATCGTGGGCCCGCAGGCTGCCTTCCCGCCCGCCCTGCCGGGCCCCGTCCCCGTCTGCACGGGCCTGGAGCTCCTCACAGGCGCGGTGAGGAAGCCCTAGGGCTGGGGGCTGGGGGGCACCTGTCTTCTGCTGCCTCGGTACTGTGTCCCTTTCTTGTCCCAGTGCCCCTGGGGCTCCCAAGCCTTGTCCCCACTGTGACCCCAGGTGGCCACAGCCAGCTCCCCACCTCCCCCTCAATGCCCCTGGATGCCCATCGTGCCCAGGTTCCTATGGGGCTGGGAGGCCTAAGATTGCTGTGGCCCTGGCCCCTCTCTGTGTCCCTTGCCTCCCCTGCCCGGCCTCCCCTGCTCTGCCCGTGGCTGTCAGGCCTGAGGTCGGGGTGAGGGTGGGGAGTCCCTGACTCGTGGCTCTCCCTGCTGCAGGGCTGCTTCACCCACACTGTCATGTACTACGGCCACTACAGTAATGCCACGCTGAACCAGCCATGTGGTGGACCTCTGGAGGGTGGCCGGTGCTCACCCAGGGCGAGTGGCCTGCCCTACAACATGCCCCTGGCCTACCTCTTCACCGTGGGCGTGGGCTTCTTCATCACCTGCATCACCCTGGTATACAGGTACCGCCTCCCCCTGGTGACCCAGGCCCCGAGCTCCGCTCATCCGTCATTCATCCTTTGACCCGGCCATTGATCTTCCCTTTCTTCCTTCTACCCATCTATCCACCTGTCTGCTGTCATCCACTCACCCATCCATTCGCCCATCCATCCATTCGCCCGTAAATCCATCTACCCACTCATCTACCTACTCATCCACCCACCCATCCACCTACCCATCCACCCATCCACCCATTGGCCCATCCACGCATTCACCCATCCACCTATTCACCCATAAATCCATCTACCCACTCATCTACCTACTCATCCATCCACCCATCCATTCGACCATTTACAAATATATCCACCCACGCACCCACCCACACATCTACAAACATTCCCTGTGCTCAGCTCAGGGCACGGTGGTAAATGAGCATGGAGCCGGTCCTAGGGGGTGTGCTGTCTCTGGGAGAAGGTGGACCCCTGAGCTGGGACAATCCAGGAGCCTTAGCGGTGTTTCTCATGTCATGGGAGCACTGGGGAAGGAGTCAGGTTGCTTCTGAGGGGAGTTGGCACTTGCTGTGAGAGAGGAAGGTTAAATAAGAGTGGGGAAGGATGAAGCAGCAGGGAAGATGTTTCGGTCAAGGGGCCCAGCAGTTCTGTCCGTGACTCGCTTGGAGACAGCCAGCCGAGTCAGGGATGAATGCAGCCGTGCCCCTTCTTCTGGGCACATGTGGCTGGCGGGTGCCGGATTGGATGAGACTGGTGTAGAGGGCTGGGGGTGGGGCGGGAGCATGGCAGGAGGTCCATGTGGGGCCCAGAGGGCTCCTGAGTAGGTGGCGGGGCCTGGCTGCCGAGAGCATCCCGTCTGCCTTCTCCCCTTGGCCTCTGCCCTCAGCTTGCCGGTTGCCCTGTCTGTGTGTGCCTCTCCTCAGCATGGCTCACTCTTTCGGGGAGAGCTACCGGGTGGGCAGCACCTCTGGCATCCACGCCATCACCGTCTTCTGCTCCTGGGACTACAAGGTGACGCAGAAGTGGGCCTCCCGCCTCCAGCAGGACAACATTCGCACCCGGCTGAAGGTGAGCGGCCCTGGGAGCCCCCATCCCCGGGCCCTGGAGCACCTAGCTGGCCTGCCCAGCTCCCTGGGCCCACTTAGAACCACACGGCCAGAACTGCGCTCTAGAGGGAGGGCCCTCTGTGAGCTGAACTCCGGGCACTGGGCAGGCGTGGCCTTCTGCTTGCAGTGACCGGGAAGGCCCTGGGTTTGCTGGGGTACATGTCCCTCAGTTAGGTGCTGCCTCTGTTGTCTGCTAGTGGGTGGTAGCACCGTGGCCCAGTGAGCACCCAAGAGCCAGCCCCGAGGCCTCAGGCCCCAGCTGGCACATACTCCCTGGCTGGTGTTAGCTTGGTTGGTGGCCCCAGGTGCCCAGTGGGTGAGGACTGTCATCTTTTCTATTTTCTGTTTTTTGAAATGGAGTCTTTCTGTTTCCCAGACTGGAGTGCAGTGGTGCAATCTTGGCTCACTGCAACCTCCGCCTCCTGGGTTCAAGAGATTCTCCTGCATCAGCCTCTCGAGTAGCTGGGACTACAGGTGCGTGCCACCACGCCCAGCTAATTTTTGTATTTTTAGTAGAAACGAGGTTTCACCGTGTTGGTCAGGATGGTCTCGATCTCTTGACCTCATGATCCACCCACCTCAGCCTCCCAGAGTGCTGGGATTACAGGCGTGAGCCACCACGCCCAGCCGTCATCTTTTCTGTGTCTGAGTGAGGAGACCGAGGCTTAGAGGCCAAGGCCCTTGCAGAGGTCTCGTGGCCAGGAGGCTGCGGAGCTGGGGCTTGTGGAACATTCCCTGCCTTTCTGGGGTTCTCTGCTTTGAGGAGCTCAGAGTTGTGACCTGTCAGCAGTCGTCAGCAGTCATTCTGTGGGGGGCTTCTCGTCACTGGGGAGCCACCCACATCCACAGGGAACAGGAAGGGACCTCTGAGCAAGGCCCTGGCCCCAGCAGGCAGGGCTGGGAGGTGGGTGGAGAGGGGTTGAGGGCAGGCCTCGGGAGTGAACGCCAGCCCAGGCACGGGGGCCTCCCGGCAGGGGACTGGGTCCTCTCTGCGTGGAGGGAGGGCTCTAGACAGGTGAGAGGGCAGGTGGGGTGTTGGGGTCCAACCCTCTGTCCTGGGTCAAGCCTCCTGATGTGTGGTGTGCGTGTTGTGTGTCATGCTGTGTCCGCGCACCGCACACACGTGTCCGTGCTCTGGTGTGGGTGACGGGGACATGGTGCTGCCTGCAGGAGCTTCTGGCCGAGTGGCAGCTGCGGCAGAGCCCCAGGAGCGTGTGCAGGAGGCTGCGGCAGGTGGCCACACTGGGGCTCGTGTGGCTGCTGTGTCTGGGGACCGCGCTCGGCTGCGCTGTGGCCGTCCACGTCTTCTCGGAGTTCATGATCCAGGTGCGAGGATCGCGGGGGGAGCCTGGCCTTTGCTGGGAACATGTCCCCAGCGACTCTGGGCACCAGCCCCCTGGGGAGACAGCCTTGCCTCCCTTCCTCCACCCAGCCAGGCCAGGGTGCCACGTACGCCGTGCCCCGTGCTGGGGCTCCCTCCCAGCCCCACCTCTCAGCCCTTGTCTTATCTCACGGCCTTTTTCCGCGACCTGTGCCCCTCCCACTTCCTGTGTGGTTTGAACTTGAGACTGGGGAGGGCCAGATCTCAGGGGAGGGAGGTGCTACCTGCCAGTTCCACCCCGGCCTCTCCCTATAGCTGCCCCCTCCCACCATGGATGGGGGGGCTTCCGTGACACCGCTCCCTGCACCCCGCAGAGTCTGGAGGCTGCTGGCCAGGAGGCCGCGCTGCTGGTCCTGCCCCTGGTGGTGGGCCTTCTCAACCTGGGGTCCCCCTACCTGTGCCGCATCCTGGCTGCCCTGGAGCCACATGACTCCCCGGTGCTGGAGGTGTACGTGGCCATCTGTAGGTGTGTGGCCGCGCATGGAAACACCCTTGGTGCTGGAGCTGGTACTGCTTGTTTGGCTCTGGGGGAATCTTGGGTGACCAGGCGCGTGGTGGGGGCCCTGGGGTGCACCTTCTGTCTCCTGCACGCATGCGTCAGCCTCTGTGCCCCGCCCTCCACAGGAACCTCATCCTCAAGCTGGCCATCCTAGGGACACTGTGCTACCGCTGGCTGGGCCGCAGGGTGGGCGTGCTGCGGGGCCAGTGCTGGGAGGACTCAGTGGGCCAGGAGCTGTACCGGTTCCTGGTGATGGACTTCGTCCTCACGCTGCTGGACACGCTTTTTGGGGAACTGGTGTGGAGGTGAGGGGGCCCGGGGTGGGCTGGGCCCATCTGCCCACCCCTGAGTCCCTCGAGCGCCCTCTGGGCACCCTGAGCGGGGCTGGCGGCAGCATTCTCATCCTGGCGCGTGGCCAGGGAGCATCTCCGACCTGCATCTTTCAAATCAGGGCCCCGTGTCTCCACCCTTCAGAGGAACATGCAGGGAACAGAACCTAACTCGTTTTTAGATTGGAAAGGAAAACAGTTTCCAAGTGTTGTGTATATCACAACCTCAGTCTAGGACGCAAAGGAAAAATAGGCAGTAGGGAACAGACAGCGCAGGAACATTTTAAAAATGTTCCAGGCCGGGCGCGGTGGGGCACGCCTGTAATCCCAGCACTTTGGGAGGCTGAGGTGGGAAGATCACTTAAGCCCAGGAGTTTGAGACCAGCCTGGGCAACAGAGCGAGACTACGTCTCTAAAAATAACTAAAAATAAGAATTAGCTGGATATGGTGGTATGTGCCTGTAGTCCCGGCCACTTGGGAGGCCGCGGTGGGAGGATCACTTGAGCGTAGGAGGTCAAGGCTGCCGTGAGCCGTGATTGTGCTGCCGTGCTCCAGCCTGGACGGCAGACTCTGTATAAAAAAAGAAAAAAATCACTTAGTGCCGGAGTTAATACTGTTATTTTGCGCTGGGTGTATCCGAACCTACTTAGGATGAGGCCAGTGTGACCAAGCGTCCGGTGAGGGCTCCCAGGCTGGGGGCTGCCTCTCCTTGGCATTATCTGTGGAAGGCCCAGGATGTCACCTGGACGGTGGTGCCTCTGGGTGTGGGGACTCGGACCCGCCTCCCTGCACGTGGCCGTTCCATTTAACTCTCTGGGGTCCTCCTGGGTGGCAGGATTATCTCCGAGAAGAAGCTGAAGAGGAGGCGGAAGCCTGAGTTTGACATTGCCCGGAATGTGCTGGAGCTGATTTACGGGCAGACTCTGACCTGGTGAGGGGTCTCCGCTTGCCTCCTGCTGTCTGGCCCTTAGGTTGGTGCCCCTTTCCCCGAGGCCACAGCCAGGCCCAGCCGTGGATCCTGGAGTGATGCGGGCCCTGACCCCGGGGACCCAGTTGTGGCCACTCTCACTTGCCCTGCCCGAGGTCTGGAAGCAGCCTGGTGGGGGGCGGGGTGGTGGTACTGGAGTGGCCCCTGAACTGCCGTTCCTCTCCAGGCTGGGGGTGCTCTTCTCGCCCCTCCTTCCCGCTGTGCAGATCATCAAGCTGCTGCTCGTCTTCTACATCAAGAAGGTGAGGTTGCCGAGGGCTGGGCTGGCAGGGTGGCCTGGCAGTGGGGCAGGACTCAGTGGGCAGAGTGTGGGACACTGGAACCCTCCCCCTGAGAGTGGAGTGTGGCTGGCAGCCCTGGCTGCCCTGGGCTCTGTTCCTCAGCCCAAGGGGCGGCTGACCCCTCCTGGCATCGCTGTCTTTGGCAGACCGGAGCTGGGTGCGGTGGCTCACACCTGTAATCCCAGCACTTTGGGAGGCTGAGGGGGGCGGATCACCTGAGGTCAGGCAGGCGGGGGAGCATTCGCTGGGTTCAGAGGTCATCACCTGGTGCCTGTGTGCACCTGGCCAGGGCTCTGGAGACACTAAGCCTCCCTCCCGCCCTCTGGGTCCCTGGGAAAGTGACCCTGGTCCTCTGTCCCCAACCGGGGCATGCCCAGTGGCTGAGAACTGGGACCTTCGTTCCCATCCTGGCTCCTGTCCTGTTTGGCCTTGTTTCCTCATCCGTGCCATGGGGACCACGCTTCAGTGGGGACTGAGGGAGGTGGCGCGTAGCGTGTTGTGTGCAGAGCCTGGTATGGCAGCGACCTTCGGCGGACGGAGGTGCTGTGGGCATCAGCGCTTTGCGTGCAGGTGACCTGCGGGCCTCCACCTTCCCCTATAAGTGAGGTAGCCGCAGGGAGCGGGCTCCTGTCCTGGGCTCTGCCTGGACGCACAGCCTCGGTTGCCCTTCCCTCCTGAGCCCCCCCAGGCCTTGGAGGGTGTGAGGGGTGGCAGGACGGTGGCCGAACGCAGCCTTGCCCCGCAGACCAGCCTTCTGGCCAACTGCCAGGCGCCGCGGCGGCCGTGGCTGGCCTCGCACATGAGCACCGTCTTCCTCACGCTGCTCTGCTTCCCCGCCTTCCTGGGCGCCGCTGTCTTCCTCTGCTACGCTGTCTGGCAGTGAGTGAGGCGGGTGGAGGGCGACCCTTCTGTGCCATCCCGGGGTTGGGTGGTGGTGCCTGGGCGGCCGAGGCTTGGGGTGAAGACAGGCTGGGAGGGAGCCTGGCGGGCTTTTGCCCAGGCTGGGGATTCCTGGGCGGCCTCTTCCCCAGGGTGAAGCCCTCAGACATCTGTGGCCCCTTCCGGACCCTGGACACCATGTACGAGGCCGGCAGGGTGTGGGTGCGTCACCTGGAGGCGGCGGGCCCCAGGGTCTCCTGGCTGCCCTGGGTGCATCGGTACCTGGTGGAAAACACCTTCTTCGTCTTCCTGGTGTCTGCGCTGCTGCTGTGAGTCCCGCAGGTGGGGGTGGCCCTGGGGAGATGGCCCTCGCTGGGCCTGCATCAGCCCGACAGCCCCTCTCCTGCAGGGCCGTGATCTATCTCAACATCCAGGTGGTGCGGGGCCAGCGAAAGGTCATCTGCCTGCTCAAGGAGCAGATCAGCAACGTGAGTGCCCCCGCCTCGGCTACCCTGGCCCCCACCCTCTCAGTCATCTGGGTGACACTCCCCTCCACTCCCCTGCCAGCTCATCCCCAGCCCCTGCATACCTTCCCCGGTAGGTCTCAGCTGGTGAGAGGGTTTGTTTGCCAAACAAGTGACCCTGATCGGTACGTGCACTTCAGTACAAGTGACAAAGTAGCCGTGAGACAGATCCCCAGGGACCTCCAGGAACCCACTGGAACTGGGGCCCTGGGGGAGTGTGTGATTTCAGCGCCAGGGTGTGGCCCTGCTCGAGGGTTCAGACAGTCTCCGTGAGGACTTCTGAGTTCCTAGAAATGGATTTTGGGTCCCTGTGGAATCTTCACTCATTTTACAAACAGGTGCAGTAAGCTTGAAGGAGGGTCAGGACTGAAAATAGTTTTTTGAAGAAAACACTGTTGGGCTGGATGTGGTGGCTCACACCTGTAGTCCTAGCACTTTGGGAGGCCAAGGTGGGAGGATGGCTGGAGCCCAGGAGTTCGAGACCAGACTGGGCAACATAGTGAAACCTCGTCTCTATGAAAACTTAAAAGTTAGCTGGGTGTGGCGGTGTGCGTCTGTAGTCCCGGCTATTTGGGAAGCTGAGGCGGAGATCGCTGGAGCCCAGGTGGAAGCTGCAGTGAGCTATGATCGTATGATCGTGCCACTGTGCTCCAGCCTGGGTAACAGCGAAAACCTGTCTCATTAAAAAAAGAAAGAAAAAAAAAAGGAATAAAAAGGGCCGGGTGCAGTGGCTCAGGCCTATGATCCCAGCACTTTGGGAGGCTGAAGGGAGTGGATCACTTGAGGTCAGGAGGTCGAGACCAGCCTAGCCAACATGGCAAAACCCTGTCTCTACTAAAAATACAAAAATTAGCTGGCCATGGTGGTGGGCGCATGTAATCTCAGCTACTCGGGAGGCTGAGGCGGGAAACTCAGCCGAGATGGCGCCACTGCACTCCAGCCTGGGCAGCAGAGGGCGCTGATGAGGCTCTCATGCTGTCATGGGAGTGAGCTGCTTAGGGGGGTGAGACCCCACATCCCAGCGGCAGCCCCCAAGAGGACTGTTCCCCCAGTAGCTGGCCCCCGTGCCCACTCCCTCTGCTCCTCTCTGCCCAGGAGGACCTCCTTGCCCACTGGACAGCCGCCACGCTGGCCACAAGGCACGTTCCCCCCACCCCCCGGGCCACCCAGCCTGGCCTCCTCCCCCGAGGCCTCTCCCCCTGGGGAACGGCCTGAGAGGCAGGTCTTGGCCTTTCCCGGCCTGCGTCCTGCTGCTGGGCTCTGCCCCACCCTCGCCAGGGCTCCCGGTCCCCTCCCATTGCCGTTTGCCCTCCCGCAGTATTTCACTCTGGGCTGGCGAATGCCTGCGTCCGCAGGTGTGCTCCACACCAGGGTTTGGGGGGCACTTGTCCGGGTCAGTGGCTGCTGTCTCCAAGGCGAGGGCAGGGCGGGCTGCAGCCAGTGGGCCTCGGCAGACATGTGGCCCTGCCGCTGGCTAGCTGGTGCCAGGAGCTAGGGCTCCAGGCAGCTCGTCCCAAGAGCTCATGGGGACAGCTCCCCTGTTTCTTGGGTTGTGAACACTGTCCCATCTCCTGCCTTTTCCATTTGGCCACACAGAGCTGAAAGCTGGGCATCTTGACTGCAGTGGTCGTCTGGCCATAGACGCTGGAGGTGGGAAATGGCTCCTGCCCTACTGAGTGGCATTTCAGAGCCCCCCGGGGCCAGGTGGGATGGGCAGGGAATGCAGGGGAGGAGAATCCCAGCTCCCTCCGCCGGCTGATGCTCTGGGATGGGGAGGAGCGTTCTCCTGGAGGACGCTGGCGGCAGCGGCTACCCAAGGCCGAGCTCTTCTGACCCGTCTCTGGGGCCCGACCTGAGCCTTCCCCAGCCAGGTCGTCATGGCTCGCACGCACAGCCCCTCTGTCCTCAGCAGCAACTCGGCAGAAGCAGCTTGGGATGTTGCTTAAGGGGCCCGTGGTCCCTCCTTGAAGGTGTTGGAAGTGGCCCTCGTAGGCCGCGCCAGGTTGCCAGGTGCCCAGAGCCGGTCCGCGTGGATCCTGACAGGACTGCTCTGTCCTCTTTGTGAAGGTTCCCGGCAGGGAATCCCGGTCTGACCCCAGTGCCCGTGACTGGGGTTCCTGTGTGCCAGGTCCTATGCTGAGTGCCCCCTCTGCTTGTCACATTTCATTGTCGAAAGAGCCCCGGGTCACTCTAGGACTGGCCCCAGAGAAGTCCCCGTCCTAAGACTGGAACCCGTGACTGTTACGTGGCTTGGGGAATTAAGGTTTCAGGTAGAATTAAAGTTGCCAGTCAGCTGACCTCGCGTGGGAGACAACCCTAGATTACTGAGGTGGCCTAGCATGATCTCAGGGTCCTTAGAGGTGAGAAATGGAGGCCAGAGGGTCAGGGTCACAGTGGTGCCACGTGAGCAGGGCTTGAGCGGCCACTGCCGGCTTTGAAGTGGAGCAAAGGGCTGAGAGCCAAGAACTGCCGGGGCCTCTAGAAGTTGGAAAAGGCGGGGAAGGGGATTCTCCCCGGAAGCCCCCAGGAGGAACGCAGCCCTAACGATGCCTCGATTGTAGCCCAGTGAGACTCAGTTTGGACTTCTCACCTCCAGAACTCAAAGATGAGAGACTGGTGGTGGTTTAAGCCACGAAGTTGATGATAGTTCATTATGGCTGAAGCAGGAAGTGAATGTAAACCCTATGACATGTGTTATTACCCCCTTTACAGATGCTGCCACTGAGGTCAGAGAGTTAGTAACCCAAGGCAGAGCCAGTAAGTGGCCAGGCTGGTTTTAAATTGAGTCAGGCTGGCTCTGGGCTGCTGATCACATTTCCCTTTTCACTTTGGCCACTAGGAAGCTCAGAGCCACACATATGCCCAATTCCTGGCTCTTGGTTTTTCCTTGTCCTTGTTTTGGTGGCTCGTTCACCTTTTATTTTACTTTTGCTGCTTATGATGTTGAATACACCTCATGAGTTTTCCCTCAAATGCACTTTGGAACAGGGTGGCTCTGGATGGGCTGATGGATGGATGGGTGACTTTTCCTTCCCTTTGTGTTCTGGACTTTCTAGGAGGGGGAGGACAAAATCTTCTTAATCAACAAGCTTCACTCCATCTACGAGAAGAAGGAGAGGGAGGAGAGGAGCAGGTGAGAGTCCGTGGAGGGTTTGGGGCCACTCTGAGCCAGGAGAGAGGGGCCACGACTGGACGGTGGGGCTCCCTGGGGCTGCACCATGACATTGCTGATACTTGACCACTTTTGACCTACAGAAGTCCCCACCCTGGCCTCTGGCCCACCTTCACTCTCTCTAGAACCTTCACTGGCCTCTGGAGCCTGGTTTTGACAGGGACTTGAAATAATCTCAGGATAAAGGCTGTGGGGAATCTGGCCGGTCCCTTGCTTGGCCTTGGCTGTGCCCAGCCAGGTTGCAGGGATGTTGACGCTTGTGGGGTTCCCTCGCTGACGTCTCTTTCTGGCAGGGTTAGGACGAGCCAGGCTGTGGTACCTCCTACCCTGCTCACAGATGAACGGGATGCCTAGGGGATGGGGATGGGCCTCGAGGGCCCGCCCAGCACCCTGAGACCACACTGGTGTCTCCCAGTGACCCCGCCGGATACCAGGACCAGGAAGTCACTCTGCCTCTCCTCTTGAAAGCTAGGCTGGAGCTAGAAGGCTGGGTGAATCTGGCTTGGGCACCCCCAGTGAACTCTTCCCTGTGACTGTTTATTCCGATTAAACGCGTTGTGCAGGTGGGCTTGTCCCTTGAGGCTCCGTGCTTGTGACTGGGGCCTGTGCCCGATCACCACGCCCACGTCCAGGGTCCGCTTCCCGCTGCCCTGGGGCCACCTCTGGGCACAGGTCCAGGTCGTGGGCACCTCAGCTGGAGCAGGGGCGCCCTCTGCTGGCCAAACCCCAGATGGCAGGGGCTGGACGGTGCCAGGGCTTGATCTGTTCACTGCTTTTGACCAGCCTGAACCTGTGCCTGGGAGGGACTCACCTGCACAGATGAGCCGAGCGGGCAGATTGTGACCAGAGCGATGCATCAACCACTGGGTGATGCTGTAGCATCTGTTGGAGCAGGAGGGAAATTTAGAGGGACTTGGGATGACGTTTCAGTTACAAATGAGCTGTGGGGACAGGTGACTCTTACACAGAGGCAGCCAGTACCTGGACTTGGAGGTGAACAGGGTTTGGTTTGGTAGGGCTGGCCCCCTGCTTCTGGCTGCCAGCAGCTAGCTTGGGGGTGGCGACCCTGGGTCTGACTGGGCTGAGGAGCCTTTGGGATACCAAAAACCCAAGGCTGTGGGGTGGGCACAGGGATTTGGGGACCAGCCCATCACAGCCCAGGGCTCCATGTCTGTGGGGACCAGCCTATCATGGCCCAGGGATCCATGTTTGTAGGAGCTGCGCTTGGGATTAGGGTGGTGAGCCCAGGGTCAGAAAGCAATGGGCCCAGAAAAGGGTCAGACGCAGGTAGAGATGCCATTGGCCATTAGCAGCCTCCAGGCTGGACCCAGCCCACCCGGTCCCATGGGGAGGCTCCTGCACTCTGAAGACATCTGGGTGCTGCCACTGGGGCCCGACAAGAGTAGGCATTCGGGTGGATGGATCTGAGCAGAGTGGTGCTTCGGGGCCTCTGCAAGTAGCTGGCGTGGATTCTGGGCAGCCGCCTGTGGCAGCATCTCCAGGTGCGAGCGCCGCTGGGCGAAGCTGCATGGTCAGTCCGGAAAGTGACTGACAGTCCGGAGTGACTGACCTGGGCTTTGCGGCCCCCATCTGTGCAGACGCCGTCCTCCAAACCACTATGGTCCCTCTCTGGATGGGGACGTACGCCTGCCACTGCTGGTTTGACAGCATGATCATTTGATGGTGATCTGTTGAGCCCACCTTGCCAACCTCACAAAAGACAGTAGTGACTGCTTATGGCAGGGAAGTGGAAGAACTTGCCCTGGCTATTTCTGGAGTTGCTGTGTGTGCTAGTCAGTCTTTTGTGTCAACCAGGCCAGGCTGTGGGGCCCAGTGATCTCATCAACAGGAACCGAGGTGTCCTGTGAACGTGTGCTGCTGTAGACGGTGAACACCTACCGTCGATTCACCTAAAGATCATCCTTGAGAACGTGTGGGCCTTATCCAATCAGCTGAAAACCTGCAGAGCAAAAACCGATGTTTCCCAGAGAAGGAATTCTGCCTCAGAGGGAGGCGTCCACGCCCGCTGTACATCCAGCTTGCCCCCCCCATGGCTGGCTGAGCCTGTCCCCTTTTCCTGTTTCTGTCTCATACTGGTTCAGTCTCTGGACTGTGTGGCCCCAGACCCTCCAGTGAGGACCTCGCGTGTTTCTTCAGAGCAGCCCTTGTATGCTGCAGGCCTGGCTTTAGCTTGTCCCTGGGTGCCCTGGGGCATGTTCTGTGACCTCCCAGCTCCTCGCCTCATGGGGCATGATTCCCGTGTGCGCTTCGTACCACGCCTGGCACCGTTTGGCATGTTGCAGGGAGGCCGTGCTCGTCCCATGAGCGCAGCCTAAGACGTGGAAACTGCAAACGGTTCTAGTGGATGGCAACTTGACGCTATTTCTGGACGAAGGTCAAGGCTCCTCGATGCCACTGCTTCTCGGCCTTGGCTGCACGATGGAATCCCCTGGCGAGGCTTTGAAAACACTAGTACTCGCTGGAGGCAGTGGCAGCTGCTTCAGAGACTGAGGTGGAGGATTGCTTGAGGCCAGAAGTTTTCGTTTGTGTTTTGAGACAGAGTCTTGCTCTGTTGCCCAGGCTGGAGTATAGTCCCATGGTCTCGGTGCCCTGCTTTAGCCTCCCGAGTAGCTGGGATTACAGGTTGGGGCCACCACACCTGGTTGATTTTTGTACAGTAGAGATGGGGTTTCACTGTGATGGTTAAGCTGGTCTCCATCTCTTGACCTCAAGTGATCTGCCTGCCTCGGCCTCCCGAAGTGCTGGGATTACAGTGTGAGCCACTGTGCCCACTGAGCCCAGTTTTTAATCCAGCATGGGCAACAGCAAGACCGGTCTCAAACAAAAAAAACCCTGGTGCCTGAGGCCCACCCCCAGCTGACTTGGATGTGAATCATCTTTAACATTTTGGATGTGAATTATCTGCCAGGCACGGGGGCGCACACCTGTAATTCCAGCACTCTGGGAGGCCAAGGCGGGCGGATCACAAAGTCAGGAGTTCAAGACCAGCCTGGCCAACATGGTGAAACCTGGTCTCTGCCAAAAATACAAAAATTGGCCAGGCATGGTGGCAGGTGCCTGTAATCCCAGCTACTTGGGATGCTGATGCAGATTGCTTGAACCCAGGAGGTGGAGGTTGCAGTGAGCCTAGACCGTGCCACTGTACTCCCGCCAGGGTGACAGAGCAAGACTCTCAAAACAAGCAAGAGACCTCTAATATGGGTCAAGGTTGAGAACCCCTGCTCTGGGCCCCATCCAAGCACCAGGTTGTCACAAACGCACGCACGCACTCACACCCGTGGGCCTGGGAGGCTTTGGAAACGTGTTTGTTTTTTTGAGATGGGGTCTCGCTCTGTTGCCCATCCTGGAGTGCAGTGGCTCGATCATAGCTCACTGCAGCCTTGACCTCCTGGGCTCAGGTGATTGTGCCTCATCCCAAGTGGCTGCTTCTGGTTTTCATGGCGACCTGGGGGCCAGGCACTCGACACTTGCTGCTGTTCGGGGCAGTCCTGCACCAGGAAGGCCTGTCAGCCACAGCTCCTCCGAGAAGCGCTGACGTGCAGAGCTAGGCAGCTTTGTTTCTGTCTGGATCCTGTGCAGGTTTTCTTGGGCCATCCGTAGATACTGCACGCCTGCACCGGGTCTTCGTGGGATGACCCACTGCCTCTGTTGGGCTCACCATGATGCCCCTTCGTCTGTTGGCTTCCCCCTCCCCGTGTTTGAACAGCCTTCTCTGCATACCACACTGCTAGCCACTGGATACCCTGCTTTCGACCTTTACTGTTCTGTCATGGTATTGCCAAATTAGTTAAAAAACAAAAAGGAGGCTGGGCACAGTGGCGCATGCCTGTATTTCCAGAAGTCTGAGACGAGCCTGGGCAACATGGTGAGACCCCATCTCTACAAAAACAAAAAAACGAAATGAGCTGGGTGGGGTGGCGCATGCATGCCCGTGGTCCCAGCTACTTGGGAGGCCGAGGTGGGAAGCTTGCTTGAAGTCAAGGCTGCAGTGAGCTGATACTACATCACTGCACTCCAGCCTGGGAGACAGAGACTGTATGAACAAACAAAAATACCACAAAGGGCTACTCTGAACCTGTCATTAAAAAAAAAAAAAAAAAAAAGTCCACGGATACAAGTGAAGAACCTGTCATTTTCCTCAAACCTGCTTTTCACCCATGGTGGAAATGGCGCTCCAGGACCACGAGGCCTTTGCGTGGGCTCCCCACCTGTCCCCCGAGTTCCCAGTCTGTCAAAATCCAACCTGGTCTCCCAGGCCCAGGGCAAATACCACCTCCTCCGTGGAGCCTGCCACGTCCTTTGCACACTCTCGGGCACTGACCTTGTTCCCCCAGCGCACATGCCTGGGTACAGCTTGCCCCTGTAGCCACTCAGGCACAAAACGAACTCTTGCAGAGAGGGTCCGGAGTGCAGAGCTGAGGGTTGCTGCTTCCAGGTTCAAGTGCATTTGAGTTTCATTCCCAGAATGCTTTTTCTGGTCTTTAATTTCTTCTCTGGATTAGGTCTCACTTACTGCTTTCTTTTTCAAGTTCCAAGAGGTTGCTCAGAGCCAGCGGCAGCCGCCTTCCCCAGTGCGGGGGTCAGCCTGTGGTGGGGTGGGGGTGGGGGTCTCATCCTTTTGATGGAGTTGACCCACAATGGGCAGGTCCACCTTTGACCTTGCTCTCTGAAGTGGAAACAGAAAAAGACACTTGCTTAGTTTTAGGGGCCACCAGGGTGCTCGGTCTCTCTTCAAAGGCCTGTCTGTAACACCAAGGTCACACCGGTGGCACTGACTGGACACCCTGAAGGCCACGGCCAGTGTCCTAGGAAGGGACTCCTAGCTGTGCCACTGAGATTCTGGGGTTAGGCTGCTGCTGCCTCGCCCAGCACCGACATTCCACTGTGCTCATCCAAAAATGAATGCGTAAGATGTCTAGGAAACACAAAAAACCCTCATGACTCTTCTCTCCAAAGCCTCTTTAGGCCCAAAGTGGACCCTAGGCAAAAGCGAGCGGCACTCGTCCGCCAGGACTCCAGGCAGGCCCCAGCCTCCTCTTCTTGCTGCCGTCCCCGACAACAGCAGTTCCCAGATGAACTGCCTCGGATGGGCTGTGTGGGTAGAGAGCTAGAAAGCTTGGTTATGCCGCTCACCAATTATTAGTAAGATTTCAGTATTTACAGCAAACCCACAAAGCAAATGACAGAATAAAGCAAAACAACTGGAAGTCTGCGCTTCCCTCGTGAGATGGAGACTCGTGTAGGCTCTGAGGACATGATGGCAGGCCAGCTCTCCCAGCTGCACCGTGCAGTGTCCGTTTTGAAAGATGAAATACACATTACTTTGAACAGCCAAGAAAAAAAATTGCAATTTATTAAGATTCGATAAAGCGTTGTACTTCTGAAAGCAAATTTCGATGCATGTTCTTCAACAATCACATTCTATGAGAAAAACGTTAAGAGCCACAAACTTGTTTTTTAATCTCAGAGTTACAGACAATTAAATCCAAAATAAAAGGTCCAAAAAAAAAAAAAAAAAAAAAACTCAAACAAACCCAACAAAACCC